GCAGAACTTTCTGCTGGAGTTTACAGCCAGTAAACAAGAAGAAGAAGAATGTCATTGTAAGTGAAATAAAGAGTTTTTCGTAAACAAACAAGACACTGGACACTGGTGATTTTGAGCATGCTTATATCTGTATTTCCCTGTGGACATGGAATGATGTGTACACCAATGGTTCTCATAGTACACTAATTGTAGGCTTATCAGGTTATCCTCTCAGAGGACATGGAATGATGTGTACACAAATGGTCACCAATTGTAGGCTTATCTAGGCTGTCCTCTCAGGAGACATGGAACAATATGCACACTAATTGTTTGTAAAATGCACTAATTATAGGCTTATCTGTGCTGTTCTTTCAGTGTTTGTGTATTTTCTACTAGCAATAAGCTGTCACCTGGGTAATGTAGAATGTTCATATTGTAGCCTCCATCTTTGAAATATAAAGACCTGATGCAGGTGATGTGTGTTTCATGATGACATCAAAGGCGTGAATAAACAGCCCTACTATCTACAGTATAAAGGGCACACTGTCTCGCTGCTGATCCCACCAAAGCTAAACAGGATACACAGTATTTGTCTAGTGTTGACAAGAATTAAACTAATGCTGACTCAGCATTTATTGCTTGGTGCTATTTTAGACTGGCAAACTTACGTAAGTGGTTTACTTGTTCTTTTTCTTTCACATACGACCTTAAAAAGGGTGGTTGGCATATTGTGTTGTGCTTTACAGATGGGCTGTGATGTCTGCTGCTTTCGGCTTAACAAATTCGTTTTCAGCCAAATCCTAATTATTAGACTTCACAACATGCTTATTGTAAAGGCAGTGAGTCTGTACCTGGCCCCCATCCCCAACCCTTTTCTCATGTAAAATTGTCCCTGGTACCCACTTAGGGAGGCCAGAATATAATATGGATGCCTGTTGAGAATTTTAGAATTGTGCTAAGTCTTACGGAAGTGTGTATGATGTGTTATGATAAAGTATTGTTTAGCCAATCTCTTTCCAATTGTCACTTCGTTTTCAAGTTTATTGTCTCTTAGCCATACCCAAATAATCTTGAGAATGTCGTTTTCTTTGTAATCAGTGCACAGTTTTGATTTTCCCTGTTATAGGACACTGATGTCCTATCATCATGATGATCACCCACGCCAGTCAGCAAGGCACCTGATATTGATGATGATAGGACAGCCTCATTTGTTTTCCCCTGTGCTTTGTGTATATTTTGTGTCTGTGTCTGTATGCCTGTTTACGTTGTGTCTGAGTATGTTTTATGTCTCTATGTGTTGTATGTGTTGTCTTCTGTGTGTGTATATTATGTTGGTGTGTGTGTGTGTTGTCAGTGTTTGTGCATTTGTATGTGTTAGCGTGTCAGTGTGTGTGTCTGTATATCTGCCTCACGTGTGTGTCTGCGATGTGTGTGTGTATTTTTGCATGTATATTTGAAGCCATTTATTTGCTGTCAGTGCTTTTGTATTTTTACTTGACATTCACACTAGGAGGTTTGATACATGAACATAATATACTTGATGTGTATAATACAGTCAACCATGTGAAAGATGAATGTTTGAACTGGCTGATGAATGTAAGACTGGTCTTATGGTCAATTTTTGACCATTTGGAAAGTTCATAAGTTCCTTCCTGTCACTGCCTGGTATTCACTACATTTACCACATAAATATTCACACTCCACTTAGGTGCCTCTCCCCCCTGTGTGCTGTATGACCTCATAATTTATCATTTAGAAAGAAAAAACAGCCTGTGGTAATAAAAGCTACCAGTTTTTCCCACTGTGGATTCAGTTACTAGCATTTCTACAGTTTCAAGTTTCCAATGCTGTGGCAGGAACTTATTTGTCACTATGTTACTGATTGATTGTTGGTATGCTGTATACAGTTGCTGATGTGTGCTGCACATGATGGTTCTATGTATGATGGGCTTTGCTCCACACTGGTACAATATAGGGTATCAGCGGAGAAGTGGGTGACTGAGGGATCAGAAGGAGGTGTCTCCTACATCTTAGGACATGGTTAGGTCCGCTATAGGCTTGGGCTTTAAAAAAAAAATCATAGTTCATTCTGTGATTCTGCTTAAGCTAGCAGACTTTCTCATCAGCCTGAAACACTCTATTTTGTGTGCGCGCGCGTACGTGTGTGTGTGTGTGGTTGTTGTTGTTGTTGTTGCTGCTGCTGCTGCCGCAGACATGACATGGTCTCCAGAGAAGGACACCTGTCCATTGGATTGAATGTCTGAACACTGGATAAGCAAGACATATAGCGGATCAGTGGTCTCCAACATGGGGGGAGAGGGGGGTGGATTAAGGGAGGGGCGTGGCATGAGGGAGTTTAAAAATGGGGGTTGGGCGTCAAGCAGTTTTAAAATTGAGTCTATTTGTATGTGTAATAATCCGGATTTTCAGATTTACCACTCATGAAAACAAAATGTTGCCAGCCTGATGTGGAGAGTGATTTCAGGTGTGCCTTGTGCAACATCAGATAAAAAAAATTGCAGATATTATCCAATTGAAACATTGTCAACCATCACATTGATACTTGGACACTAAATTACCTGTTTTTGGTGGTTGTTTCTTTTGTTATTGAACACTTTGATTTATATTTATATTTTTCTCCAAATTCTTGTTGACAGTGCTTGGCATTATTTTTTTTTGGGGGGGGGGGGGGGGGGGTCCTCTTTTGAATCACATTTTATTATGTTAAGTGTGGAGGCGGTGGTGATCTTGCCATAATACTGAAGAGAGGGAAAAAGTGGGGGGGGGGGGGGGGGCGCCACCTGAAAAACTGTTTGAAACACTGAGTTAGATAATCAGGTGGATGGTTAACCGAGTCTGTCCAGGCACAGGGGCAGATATAGATTTTACAGAGAATAGTTCCTTTAGTTGTTGGATAAGTATCCTGAGGCATGAGGCACTCGTCAGAAAACGTCACCCTTGTTTATCATTTGTCTGTATCGCTCATTTATTGCCTCCAGGAGGTGACATGAATGATATAGTCAGCATCACACCGGCTGACAACAGATAGTGTTCTAGTTCTATGTTACCTATGGGCCTACCTAGGAATCAAGGCTGTTTTATTTTTGTTAAATGCACCATGTTAATTTTATTTATTGTGGATTATTTTTTTGTATTTCTAATTAAATGTACATTCACACTGTGAATTTTAATATATAAAAATAATGTGCTTGATATGGGTGGAATTTGGGAATTTTTCACGTGGTCTTCTAGTAATTTTCCCTGGTCTCTGGATAGTAAGATCGGACGTCCGTGTGTATTGTTGCACACGTAAAAATATTTTGACGGATGGCAATCGAAAAGAGTAGCCCATCGGCTCTGCCCCGCAAAATTTTAAGTTAACAATATATCTAAAGAATTTTAGGATCCTCGCTGGTGCTACATATTTCGTGCACTACGCTGCGATTTTTAGGACTCGGGCTTGAGTTAGATGTAGAACAGAGCACTACACTTGTGCCATGATGTTGATTCATTGTTTAAACGAAACCAAATACTTGGTGTATCAAATATAATTGCCATTCAAAAGATAAGCATTTGAAAGGGCTCAATGTAAGTCAGGCTTGCGTGCTGAATTTGTGACCCTTTGGAAATTAACTTTGTTCGTTTGTTTAACCCGAGGACCTCAAGGCTGACATACCAGTGTCCAGCCTCAACACGTCCATGGCAGCTACCATTGTTTGTGATGCTCAAAATATATCTGATTTGTGTTGTGAACTGCAAATTTAGATAATGGTGAGCGGTAGAGAACTGGTGGTTTCTTATACAATTAATTGCATATGCAACTAATCTGTTATAACTGCTGCTTCCATTGACTGTGAACTACGTTTTTATTGTCTGATTGACACGTCTGACTGCTGCCTTATGCGTGTATGCTGTTGGAATTGTGGAGACTGCAATCTGTCTCAGTTTGTTTCTCAAGAGACAGTGATGGACATTCTATGTGGTTTTCATTGGCACAGGAGCATAGAGGCTGTGGTTACCTGTTTACCTGAGTACAGTATTGTCTGTGGCATCTGGTAGGTAAAGTTTGGGTCCCATGTGGGGGAGTGGGAGGGAAGGAAGATTTCAGACGTTTTTTAAATTTTGCATTAGCCATTGCTCAGTTTTTAAAGGCATTATAATGCCTGTTTAATTCCTTTGCAGGTGAAATTCTTAGGGTAGTAGAATGTACTGGCCGTACACTGTTCAAGTGTGTCATTTGTGCAGTGTAAATTCAGAGTGCTGTGAAAAACTATTTCATTATTAATTATCTTAGAAGACAACAGGTGCAAAATGTTCACTTTTTAGGGATTCATCGAACCATGACCGAGTCACTTCCTCACCTGACCATTCCCCAGTTTGTTCTTTAGCTAGGTTTTATTAATTGAATGATTGTGTGTTTGTAGGAAAGGCCCATTCCTGTTTTGAAAACATGTTGAAAGAAACTTTACAATTTCCATTCTTAATGCATCATCATCATCATCATCATCATATAGAAAGTCCTTTGCAGAAAGTCGCTCTCAACACAGTTTGCCTGAAAGAAACTCGGTCTCTCGCCAGCTCTCCCGCCTCATGTACTTTCACACTCATGGAGTCACTTATATCCTGTGCCCATCTTTGTGTTGGTCGGCGCCCTCCCCTCCTTCCTGGTACCATGCCTTCTGCTATTAGTTTTCCAATCTGTTGTGGCGCTTAAAATGACCAAAATATTTCTGCTTCCGAGACAAGATGCTGTTTATAACCCAATTTTCTTTTATGTTTAGATCTTTCAAGATGTTAGTATTTCTCCTCTTCTTTTTTCCAAGATATTCTGAAAATCTTTCTGCAGTATTTAAGCTCAAAAGCCCTATTCTCTAGTCCACGACTTACTTCTTAATGCATCAGAAAAAATAATAATAGTATTTTGGCACCCATGTGGAGCTGTGCCCAGCACATCTGCCTTACCTGCTGCATCCTAGTTATGCCAGTGTAAAGACTTAAAGCTTTTATTGATTGTTCCACAGCCCTGGGTGCTGGCAGACCCAAGAACCACAAATGTCAAACCTGTGATAAGTCTTACATCGGCCAGGCAGGACTAGCTCGACACTACCGGCTCAACCCAGACCACTGCACCAACCCCACAGAAAACGGCAGCATATCATCTTTACATAATGGCTCTATTGATGGTGACGACAGCAAAGGTAGGTGCATTATCTCCCCAAGTATCTGTTAACTAAAGTAAAAATCGAAAGCTATTGGTGCCAAACAGTGATCGAACCTGTCACCTCCAAAAGTGTTATCTGGGTTCTTGACACCTGACCCCAGTGCAAGAGTTTTGAGTGTTTGATATCAACTACAGTCCCAGGGGAAGTAAATGGCTGTGTTCTAGGATGACCTAGCTTTAGGTTACAGCACAGGAGCAAACTTTCCTCTAAAATTTACATTATTTAGACACAAATTAGGTTGGGGAAAAACAGGTTCTGAAGTTACCAGTCATGCCACCATAGCGGCTTATAACAGACTGGCGACTCAGAACAGACTGGCGGCTCATAACTGACTGGCGGCTCATAACAGACTGGCGGCTCATAACAGACTGGCGGCTCATAACAGACTGGTGACTCATAACAGACTGGCGGCTCATAACAGACTGGCGACTCATAACAGAATTGCGGCTCATAACCGACTGTCGGCTCATAACAGACTGGCAGCTCATAACAGACTGGCGACTCATAACAGACTGGCGACTCATAACACACTGGCGGCTCATAACAGACTGGTGACTCAAAACAGACTGGCGGCTCATAACAGACTGGCAACTCATAACAGACTGGCAACTCATAACAGACTGGCAACTCATAACAGAATGGCGACTCATAGCAGACTGGTGGCTCATAACTGACTGGCGGCTCATAACACTCATTTGGGCCCAGGAACGTAGTGCATGGACAACGGTGGAGGGTGTTTGGATCCAACATGTGTTTGAGAGTGAATGTCGTTCCAACGTTCAACTTGGCAAACGGAGCGAGCAGGCAAGATGTCTGCCGGCCGTGGTATTTTTTCCTTCAGGACAGCTGTTGTGTTTTCGTTCATTATGCTTGTGGTAGGACAATTGTGATTTCGGCTAAAAGGTAAAAATGATACTTATGCTATTTTGAGTTTCAATGTATGCTTGGACAGTAGTCTATTTCATGTGCCAGCGGAGGAAGCCGCGAGTGGAAGAATAAAGTGCAGAAACAGTCTCATGTTGTTTACCAGTCGTCCATTTTCTGCTCGGTGTGTGAAATAGGAATCGTGCAATGACTAGAGCCAGATAGAAGACAATAGACAGTCATTGCATGAAATGACAGGCTCATAACAGACTGGCGGCTCATAACAGACTAACGGCTGTGTTGTTAGTAAACATCAGAGCCACCATTGAGCAGATCTGATTGACAGTCATTGATACCAGTATTGACCACTTGTGGGAAACATCAGACAAAATGCAACCAGGAACTGGCACATGCCAGTTTGTTTTGCACTGAATAGTTCAGCAAACTGTAATGCTGTAGCAAATGCAGTTTTGTATTATCAAGCAGATCATGTTTTTGTTTCCAAGGGGGAATTAGTGAGACATCAGACACCGCATGATCTAACTGTGTTGGCTTCTTTATCTTCACATTCGCCAGGTGTAAACTCCAAAAGAAAGTTCTGGTTGTTTGTCCATCTCTAGACTTTAGTATTGTTCCGCAATCTGAGTGTAGCATGCACATCTGTTTTACAGATCTAGCTTATTTACGTGAAGACTGTTGGTTCCTTGCCTCTCAGAGAGATGCACTATAACTTGAAAGGAAGACCCAAATTAATTGACTCGTATGACATGCTTGTAGGGGAGGCAGTGGGTCTATTCTTGTTTTCTCCACAATGGGGCCTTAGAACCCACACAGTCCCAGGGACTGCTCTAAAATGGGGACAAGACCAATATACTGTTTGTGACCTCATTTTGAAAAACTTAGTTCCACATATAGGTTCCAATAACCATCGTCTAAATGGACCTGAGGCAGGGGCGCTGTTTGGAACCGAGGCAAATTTTTTGCTTCTGTCGGACGGTGGCCGGTGCATTTTTGCTCCGTTTGTACATTGGATATAGTTTCGTCACCTAGCTTCTGAGCTGATGGCATAGCGTGACACTGTGAGCTGCAGATTTCATTTGGAATGTTCTTTCAACTTTGACCAAAATGGTGGTGTGAATTGTAGATTCAGAAAATGGCACGATGCCGGTCGTGCAATGTTGGTAGTGCCCGTATGTGATTAAAATTGATCACGTGGGCAACTACTGATCTGTTGGTGACTTCTGCTACCATCAATGATGAACTGCATTTCTAATGTTGGACTGTTTGTGTTAGCACTTCGGATGGCTACCGTAAGCTTTATTGCGTGTGTATGCTAGATATGCTGAGACAGCAGTCTGTCAATCTTCCCACAAGGGACTGTGATAAACATTCTGTGTGCTTTTCGTTGGCACGGGAGCAGAGCAAAAATGGGGTGACCCGTTTGCTATGAAGCTGAAACTAAGACTACCAGACCAGAACCCATACAGGGAATTTGTTGGCTAATTTTGTGACTTTTCTTTTTTCCCCTCTTTGTCTGCACTCACTGGTTACAAATTCCTGCAGAAAGTTCTGGCTGTTCATCCACTTCTGGGCTTTGGTCTTGTTCCAGAACCTGAGTTTTGCATCCATGTCTGTTTTACAGGTCTGGCTTATTTGTATGCAGGCTATTGGTTTCTAACTTCAGTTGAGGCATTGGAACCTATATGTGGAACTAAGTTTTTCACAATGAGGTCACAAACATTATATTGGTCTTGTCCCCATTTTAGAGCACTAACTAATATTCTCTCTCTCTCTCATATCTCTCTCTCTCTCTCTCTCTCTCTCTCTCTCTCTCTCTCTCTCTCTCTCTCTCTCCCACCCTCTTTACACACGCACACAGTTAAGAACCCTAGTCATTCTAGGCAAAAGCAAATACCAGACTACACATGATTCTAAACACTTCTCAGAACACTGTAAACATTTTCTAGTGTCTCTGGTTAATGAGACTAGAACAGGCACAGAGCTATTCTGTTTGTACAAATAATCTCCTCTCTTGGACCTGAGCCACTGCCTTGGCAGGTACAATCACAAACACTAGGCCACCACTGTTCCCTTAAAATATTTAGGTAAATATAAAAAGGGTGATGGCCCCGTTAGGATTCATAAAAAATGTAAAGACAGTTTTTACATGGATCACCAATAAATTCATTAAAAAATGTTTATCGACATTTAAAAATAGTTTTTTGAAATATATATAAAGACATTTTAAAGAAATAATCAGTAAACAGGTACAGGTCAAAGCATTAAATGGATACATTCACTGGGGCCTAAAAACACATCATGTGACTCCTACCATGACCTTTACCCCTGAGGATTGTGATAAGCTATTGAACACAAAGGGAAACTCCTCTGAATGCTGTTTTAGTTAATTAATTAATTAATATCCTGACCCTTAAATGTGTGCACAGGTGTAAACTCAGCCAGTTGCATTAACTGTACATCTCATAAACAGATCACGATAGGCAAGATGGAAATGTGGTATTTGAGGGGGATTGTACCCAACAGGAAGTGACAGTTTTTCAGCTTCTCGGGCCAAAGGGGTTAAAACTTAGTCAGCATTGCTACAAAATATCTAGTATTTGTGTATTCACAGTTGACATCACTTCACTTTATGCATTCCCATTTATACTGTCACGTTGTTGAATTTGATCTTATTTCTTTGATACTACACAGTTTTTTATTTATACATTCAGCTTGTTGACGTGTACAATGTAAGTGTCTTATATTTTATCCATGCTGTGTGTTTAATTTATGCAATCAGATTGTTGACTTGTACCGCACAAGTGTCTCAGATGTTATCCATGCCCTGTTATTTTATTTCAGCATGTTAACAAGTACCACATTTCTGTGTCAGATGTTAGTCAAGCCTCTATGTTTTATTTATACTGTCAAGTTGTTTTAACTTGTACCCTTGTACCCCCCCCCCCCCCCCCCCCCCCCCCCCCCCCCCACATCCCCCTGCTGCAGATGCATCACTTCCCCCAGACGGCAGCTTATCCAGGATGTCTGACGGTGCAGCAGATGTGCTGAAGACCAGCTTCCACACCAGCAGCATCGAGAACATTTCAGAAGACTCCAACACTCAGGACTCTCTCAACTCAACTGGCGCCACCTCTCCTGTCGTTCGACGTGGACGAGGAAGGGGAGGGTTCAGAGGTCGATGGGCACATTTAAAGCACAATGCTTTGATCAGGCGGAAACATAAATTGAAAGAGGTTTGTGGGTTGCATTGTTACTTAGGCATGGATTGTTTTGTGTTTACTTTCTGTGCTGTCATATTATGAACTGTGACTCTGTAAATGAACATTGTGGGAACACAATTAAAGCTTTTGAAATTTGGCTTTTATCAATAAAGATGATTTTTAGTCCAGGGCGTGCACTTTATAGCTGTGACCAGGTGGGGGGGGGGGGGGGGGATCAGGCAAACAGTCAGCGCTCAGAGGAATGGCCAGGTAGATATACAATCAAACTGCTACTGGTACCATTGGAACCGGAGCTCTGTGCTGGCTGCTGAAGGTGAATACGGCCCCCTTATGGGAATGTCCTGAGTGCTAGGATATCAGTTCTCACCTCAGCGGTTGTATCCATAAATTGGCAGGCTTTCTCCTCAGCCAGTTCCATTTTAGGGTCAGCCCAGCCTTATAACTTATAATATGAGTCTGGGATGATTTTCAGAACTGTGAGGGAAGACAGTGATGTGGAAGGGAACTGACCACCCTATCTCATGTGACATGACCTATAATATGTGGAGACCCAACCCTTTACATCTAAATGGCAGTGTCTGGGACTAGCGTGACCTTTGCATCAATTAATAGTTAGAGGGGGGGGGGGGAGTTCAGGGATGAATGAAAAAGACAAGTCTTTGAAGGATCCATCATTGTCTGTCATTATCTTAATGTGCTGTTGTCAGACACACAGGGTTGACTTTCATATTCTGTCCTATAATGTGCAGTTGTTTCAATCCAGTTGTGGTATGGTGATCTCGGTCACAGGCGTTGTGATGTGTATAAGGAGACCCCCCATGCGGGGGCCAGCAGGCTCTGTGCTGGTTTTTGCGGATCCTCGTGCGCTGGGGGTCATGGCCTGTATTGGCCTAACCCGAGCTGGCAAGGGATCTCAGAGCTGTGGCTCCCCAAAGATGCAGTTCCCAGAAATCCTCTGGCACGAGTCAGCCCACCAACTGTGCGTGAGTGATAACATATAAAACTCATTTGGAACAGGAGTGAAGTCTGTTGGCCGAGTACCAAACTAAATGCAAACCTTGTTTCAGATGACTCAACCAAGACTCATACTGTGTCTCTGCTTAGGTTCAGAAGTCCATCCATTGAGTGTCCTACTGTATGATAGCAAAGATTCAGATGTGTCCTCCAGGAACAGCCACACTGTGGACAAAGTCACCACACATATGAGGCTACAAATGTAACTACTGGGAAGACTAGCTAAAAAACAAATACTCAAAGAAGTCAGATGTGTGGACTAATAAGGGCAACAAATATCACAGCTCTGCTGTAAGCCAGCACAACATATTCATGTCACTTAGACAAATGAAGAGGAAGAAGAATCCTGTGCATCACCTTTGGCCTTCTTCATCAACATTAATCTTATGGTTTCTTTTGGATGTGCTAATTTCCTCAGTCAATTTGTTTCCCATAGGAGTACCTGTTTAGTGATTCGCTGTTCACTTCTTCTCAGAAAGTGCCCAATATACCTATCTTCTTTGTCTCATAGCTGTTGTCTCTCCTCTTCTTCATAGCATTCTCCGGCTATAAACTCCGGTGGAAACTTCTCTTCCAGAACCTGTGTTTTGTGTGCTCATCTGTTTTACAGATCTGGCTTATTTGTAAGCAGACTCTTGGTTCCCCACCTCTTAGACAGCTGCACTGTGATTTTGAAGGTAACACAAGTTGTTAGTCAACATTTACAACAAGCTTGTGGAGGCAGTGGGCCTGTTCTTCCCCTCTCCCCCCCCCCCCCCCCCAATGGGGCCCCATCTAGATGTTGTCTCTGATTTATTTGCCTTTTTAAAATTCATTCTATTCAGTTCCACCAGTTTCTTTAGGCCTTTGTTTTTGACCTCATTTGAAGTATTGTCGTCGGCTCTGTGGCTAAGTCGATGCGAACGCTTCGTAATGCCGGGTTTGATCCCAGCTGCGGGCCATGCGCCTTGCGTTGGTTTCGACAGTTGTATCCTGAAAGCCGACCGTCCAGAAAACAATGGCAAACTACTTGGCGTAAATTTGCCTAGAAAAATCACACAACAGCCAGGGGCTGTTAGGGTTGGCTCGGCAACGTCCTGTAAACTAACCTTCTGAAGTATTGTCACTGATGACACTTGCACTAGATGAGGTGAAGGTCACATCCGTAGACATGGACCTTGCTGCTTGTTACACAGTGAAACAGAAAACAGGAAGCACAGGTCATCTTGACAAGCACACAGTAAATAAAAATAAAACAAAAACAACTGAAGGCATTGTGGTTATAAGCCTTTATTAGCAAAGGAAAAAATAATATCAGAGAACAGGCGGAAGTAAAACTAAATTAACAACTTTAAGGCATAATGATATTACGCAATCTTGTGAAAGTAAAGTTAATAACCAGAATACCAAAATAGAAATTTAGAAAAGTCATCATCCTGTATTTTAAAACTTATGAACCGGACCATCATGGAGGACAGTTGGAAAATATTGTTTTTGTAGAGGTGATGTAAGTATTGTTCTTGTTCATTCTGAGCCAAAACTGGTGTGCCTACATCCTCTTTCATGTATGTTCTTGTCAATCTGAGCTAAGGCCGGTGTGCCTACATCCTCTTTCATGTATGTTCTTGTCAATCTGAGCCAAGGCCTGTGTGCTTACATCCTCATTCATGTATGTTCTTGTCAATCTGAGCTAAGGCCGGTGTGCCTACATCCTCATTCATGTATGTTCTTGTCAATCTGAGCCAAGACTGGTGTGCCTACATCCTCATTCATGTATGTTCTTATAATTCTGAGCCAAGACTGGTGTGTCAACATCCTCATTCATGTATGTTCTTTTAATTCTGAGCCAAGACCGGTGTGCAAACATCCACATTCATGTATGTTCTTGTAATTCTGAGCTAAGGCCGGTGTGCCTACATTCTCATTCATGTATGTTCTTGTCAATCTTAGCCAAGACCGGTGAGCCTACATCCTCATTCATGTATGTTCTTGTCATTCTGAGCCAAGACCGGTGTGCCTACATCCTCATTCATGTATGTTCTTGTTGTTCTGTGTCAGGACTAATGTAAACATGTATGTCCACAGCTCATCAAGCAGTGTTCAGACGAGGACCTGATGGAGGTAGTGCTGCCCCGCCTAGTCAGCAGTGTCTCTCTCTGGGAGTACCTCATGATGAAGTCAGAGAATGGTGGTGCCAGGCCTCAGGTGAACAGTTTGTTGCATTATCTCACTGACACTGTCTCATCTACATTACCTCAGTGACATTGTCTCATCCACATTATCTCAGTAACATTATCTCATTCACATTATCTCAGTAACATTATCTCATCCTCCTCATCTCTCTGATATTGCATTGCCTCATTGACAAAGATATTGTCTCATGGACAGAATATTGCTGATACCTCTTATAGACATTACTTCACTGACACTGTCTCATCCACATTACCTCAGTGATATTGCCTCCATGACAAAGATATTGTCTCATGGACAGAATATTGCTGATACCTCTCCTAGACATTACAAGATTCCAAAATCTAGCTATGGGCGACTAAAAAGAAGCGGTTTTATCCACCATGCCAAACTGCTCTGCAGACAAACCACTGATTTGCATGCAACTGATAGCTCCTTAAATGCTATTCCAGAATGGACTTACTGGAGAGAGGAGTGTAAGTTTTCAATACACATCAAGACAGAAGTGAAAGGAGTATGTGACAAAGAAAAACAAAACAGTATGCAGCAAAAAACAGCCATTCTCAGTCTACTTGATGACGAATTCGCACAAAATCTTTGGTTCCGTTTTTACACATATGCAGTCAGAAACAGAGGAGCAGGAGTGTACATTGAGCATCCTAATAATACCACAAATACAGGCAAAAATCCAACAGGAAAGCACTGTCACAACTACGGTGCAGAAGTTCAAGCCATCAAGTAGCAGCAGAGAAACTACTAAACACAGGGTATATCTTACAACCAATGGTATTTCGTACAGATGCAGAATCGTTACTTCAGGCACTCGAGTCTAGAAAATTACCAGGTATACGGACACTACTCTCTGAACTAGGCAGCGATGAAAGGTAGTTATGCAGTGGATACCATCCCACTGTGGAGTTCCTGGAAATGACAGAGCTGATAAATTAGCCAGTCTCTTATCAACAGAAGAAAAGAATATCAAATCAGTCTGAAAACCAGCGAAACTGGCACAAGACGATTTCCATATTATGGACAGACCAAAGCAAGTCATTATTTTACACCTTAGAACAGGGCATAATCGACTTCACAGCCACATGTATACAAAATTTAAGATTGGCGAATCGGCCATGTGTACCTGTGGACTGGCACCTGAGACAACAAATCACATCCCCTAAGACTGTCCCAAATACAACGCTTCCATTCAAAACTTCTGGCCTAGAGAGAGACTGGTGGAAGTCAAATTTTACTGGCCGCTAAGTGAATGATAAAAGACAGTGAAGTTCAAATTAGAGACAGCATTTCAGATATAGATAATTTATTTCAAGCGAACAAAAGAAGAAGAGGGTCAAGAAGTAATGCTGTCACATGTTTGATGTCATGACATGTTTGATGTCATGACATGTTTGATGTCATGAATTTGAGACATAGCAGCAGCATGCCAAGAAGGTAGTGCTATCACAAGACTATTTAACGCTTTTTGGTGGTTTTGGTTGGCATAAAGCACCACTTATGTCATTTGGCTATCTCTACATACTAAAGCACCACTTATGTCATTTGGTTATCTCTACATACTAAAGCATCAGTTATGTCATTTCGCTATCTCCACATACTAAAGCATCGGTTATGTTATGGTCATACTACTAAAGCATACTAAAGTCAGTTATGTCATGGTTATCTCCACATACTAAAGCATCAGTTATGTCTTTTGGTTATCTCCCCATACTAAAGCACCACTTATGTCATTTGGTTATCTCTACATACTAAAGCATCAGTTATGTCATTTGGTTATCTCCACATACTAAAGCATCAGTTATGTCATTTGGTTATCTCCACATACTAAAGCACCACTTATGTCATTTCGCTATCTCCACATACTAAAGCACCACTTATGTCATTTGGCTATCTCTTCATACTAAAGCACCACTTATGTCATTTGGTTATCTCTACATACTAAAGCACCACTTATGTCATTTGGTTATCTCCACATACTAAAGCACCACTAATTTCATTTGGCTATCTCTACATTCTAAAGCATCAGTTATGTCTTTTGGTTATCTCCACATACTAAAGCATCAGTTATGTCATTTGGCTATCTCTGCATTCTAAAGCATCAGTTATGTCTTTTGGTTATCTCCACATACTAAAGCATCAGTTATGTCATTTGGCTATCTCTACATTCTAAAGCATCAGTTATGTCTTTTGGTTATCTCCACATACTAAAGCATCAGTTATGTCATTTGGTTATCTCCACATACTAAAGCATCAGTTATGTCATTTGGCTATCTCTACATTCTAAAGCATCAGTTATGTCTTTTGGTTATCTCCACATACTAAAGCATCAGTTATGTCTTTTGGTTATCTCCACATACTAAAGCATCAGTTATGTCTTTTGGTTATCTCCACATACTAAAGCACCACTTATGTCATTTGGCTATCTCTACATTCTAAAGCATCAGTTATGTCTTTTGGTTATCTCCACATACTAAAGCATCAGTTATGTCTTTTGGTTATCTCCCCATACTAAAGCATCAGTTGTATCTTTTGGTTATCTCCACATACTAAAGCATCAGTTGTATCTTTTGGTTATCTCCCCATACTAAAGCATCAGTTATATCTTTTGGTTATCTCCACATACTAAAGCATCAGTTATATCTTTTGGTTATCTCCCCATACTAAAGCATCAGTTGTATCATTTGGTTATCTCCACTTACTAAAGCATCAGTTGTATCTTTTGGTTATCTCCACATACTAAAGCATCAGTTATATCTTTTGGTTATCTCCCCATACTAAAGCATCAGTTATGTCTTTTGGTTATCTCCACATACTAAAGCATCAGTTATGTCTTTTCGTTATCTCCCCATACTAAAGCATCAGTTGTATCTTTTGGTTATCTCCACATACTAAAGCATCAGTTGTATCTTTTGGTTATCTCCCCATACTAAAGCATCAGTTATATCTTTTGGTTATCTCCCCATACTAAAGCATCAGTTGTATCATTTGGTTATCTCCACTTACTAAAGCATCAGTTGTATCTTTTGGTTATCTCCACATACTAAAGCACCACTTATGTCATTTGGCTATCTCTACATTCTAAAGCATCAGTTATGTCTTTTCGTTATCTCCACATACTAAAGCATCAGTTATGTCTTTTCGTTATCTCCCCATACTAAAGCATCAGTTGTATCTTTTGGTTATCTCCACATACTAAAGCATCAGTTGTATCTTTTGGTTATCTTCCCATACTAAAGCATCAGTTATATCTTTTGGTTATCTCCACATACTAAAGCATCAGTTATATCTTTTGGTTATCTCCCCATACTAAAGCATCAGTTGTATCATTTGGTTATCTCCACTTACTCAGTTAAGCATCAGCATCAGTTGTATCTTTTGGTTATCTCCTGTATCATATCTCCACATACTAAAGCATCAGTTATATCTTTTGGTTATCTCCAGAATAAAAATCGGACATTTCAGTCGCATTATTTTCCATCCAGCAGCAAACACAGTGACAGAATTTTTCACACCCCTTCTGCCTGCTCCGTGGAGAAAAATGTGCTGACCCCGTTAACTCTTTTTGACCCAGGCGGGTCCGGCAGTAAAATAACAAATATATAACGTGTGTTAACATACCTGTGAAAAAAAAAAAACCCACAGTAAAGCAGTTTATTGACCCATTTTACTAAATAAATGAAGGGAGATCAACATCTTCACATCGAGTCTAGAGAAATTAGCGAACACGTTTAAATTCTCTTCCCCCCCCCCCCCCCTTTTCATAATGAAGGAGTCAACAGGATATTATCCACGGAGCCCTGGGCGTACCCGACTGAGAACACCCCAGTCTCTCGGCACCCATTTCACTTGCTGCATTCACTTCACACGGCCCCCCACCCAGCGACAATCATCTATGAACAGTTAACAGCGGAATTTTGAAGGGGGCACAAAGTCGTCAACACCACAGAAAGCCAGTAACAAGGTTACCATGTGTAACTTGAAACTGGTCGAAAGACATTCTACTAGGCCATCAGATGAACGGGACCCCCTAGGAGCCGGACACAGAACAGCCTCTAGGATAGGAGACTAGCTAAAGTGCATTCAACTTCAACGAATCAACGCCGTTTCGGATTTTCACCTTTATTTTTCGGCAACAGACAATATCTGTGTCGGGCCCTCAAGGAAAAACATTTGACAGTTTTTGATGCCCTGCCCTACACCAACTACCTGGATTACAGTGAGCTCTCTCTCTCTCTCTCTCTCTCTCTCTCTCTCTCTCTCTCTCTCTCTCTCTCTCTCTCTCTCTCTCTCTCTCTCTCTCTCTCTCTCTCTCTCTCCTCCTCCCCCTCTTTATCCCTCTCTATTCTTGTATGTGTACATGTGCCTCTTTCTCCCTCTCTACTTTGATGTGGGAGTACCTGTAAACTGTTAATTACTGTTATTTGTTGTCACAATTATTATTAGTATGTGCAAGTGTTTGTAAGCATGTATACATAAAAATTGTATTTTTTTTTTTTAAATGTATGCACGGGCTAATGTTATATGACAGAAAAATGACAAATTTTGTACACCAATAACACACAGGTGTCAGCATGTAGGGAGTCGGTAGTCTAGAACCCAAGTTTAAGGCGTTTCCTTCGTGCCAATAAACTGCATGGCTGTCGGGGAGCACAGTCGTTAACGAAGGCAGTCATGATGTACAGGAGCGACATCTGGCTGATGGATGTTGCGTCCCTAGTTCCTTCCCCAGCACGAGGCTCTACTGGGGTGACCGTTAATAAACCCTCACTTTTGTATTAATTAAACCCTGGGCAGATGAAGCTCAAAAGCCCTGAAAGGCAATTCATCTACGTGAAGGACACACCGAATGCCAAACCACCACTGCCTTGTGCGAAGTTCCTGTAAGAACAAAGGCTAGGGCAACAAAGCCCGACAGAAAATGTGGGTAGGCAGAGCTCATAAGCCCTGGAAGGCAATCAGCCTATGGGAGGGGGAACCCTGAAAATATACCTCAACTGTCGAAGTCGGAAGATGT